TGCAAGATCCTGAGCAGCAAGAGTGGGGGCCAGGCACGGCTACAGCCACCTTAGCCCTGTGGGGTGTAGGACCCCAAGGAAAGGTAGCTGGGGCCAGACATGGCTACGGCCACCTGAGCCCACTGGGGAGGGAAGCCCCATGGCCCCAGTGAAGGGGGCAGTGTGGAGCCCTAAGTGAGGGAGTGGCCCCATGTGAGGGGAGTAGACCAAGGTATGTCTCTGGATGCCTGAGACTGTAGTTTGGGCCAGAGGCTGAGTAAAGGGGGCTCAGTCAGAGAGGGGCAAGTCCTGACCCCAGTAAGTCCTCCACCGCTGGGAGGCCAAGTGTGGGTCAAAAGTAAGAGCTAGACTAGAGCACAATGACCTGCTGCTCCAGGTGGGGAGTGAGAGTCCCCGTGAGACCCTGAAGCACCAGTTGTGGTGTGAGTTAAGAACGCCCCTGGTGAGGGGTGGTCCCGGAGATGAGGAGCCCCAGTGGGAGGGAGAAGAACCAGAGGACCGGGAGCCCGGTGTATATAGAGTTGCCCCGGAAGGGGCCAGGGTAAGCTTAGACCTGGTCAGGTAATTGGCTGGCCACTACCCTATAGAGAGGCCAGAAGTGTTATGTAGCAGATGGCTATCCCCAGACGTATTATTGAGGTGCCTGGAGGGGAGGCCAACCAATCTGAAATATGGGCCCTGATCAGCTTTATGTCCAGCCTGTGAAGCTACTGCACTCCCACCCTTGGCCTGATGCAAACCGCTCCCCACTCCCAAGTCCATGTCCTGAAATCAAGCAGGAGCAAGTACAAATTTTTTGTTCCTCATCTTTATTTTTTTCCCAATAAATTGAATTGCAATCAATTAAATTGAGAAATCACAATAAAGCTAAAACAGTATAGATATTTCTTTTTTACTCAACAATGCCATTGGTAGTCAACTGGTGAATACATTGTTTTACAGCACAGCCATTGCCAGCAAATACAATACAATAGAATAAAACACCAATTCACAATATGCTCCCAAGGTCCCTTGAGTAATTCCTTGATATGATATGGATGGATGGAGGATTGCATGGCAGGAGAGTGAAAGGGAGGGAGGCAGGCAGGCAACCAGCCTGGTTACTGGCCACATCCCAGCAGTGTTTTATTTTTGATCTGGCATTTCCAATGGGGGTGTGGGGAGGTGGGGGAGCAGGGTGCTTTTCAGAGAGATGACAATCACGTGACATTCATGGAGTCATGGTGTTACTGGAAAGTTGCAGGGTGGACTGTTATCAGATGGAGGGAGGTTGAATGCTTGGCCAGTGCTAGTGTGCAGTCAGCATTTCTTGCAAGAAAGAAGACTAACCAAATCCACCCACAAAGCTTAGTTAGGGAGGGAAGGTCCCCCAGCTGGGGATGTATGGCCTGACTCAGTTTGCTGATTGAGTCGGGGCATGTTACTCTCTGTTACATTGTAACTTTGGAATCTTTGCTGGCCACAAAGCTTAGGTAGGGAAGGAGGGGCCCCCTCAGGTTGGGGGATGGACAGACAACTTTCTACTTTATTTAAACTAGTTTCTGTTATCCTTATTTAAAATCTTTCTTCCTTCCGCAAGTCAGAGAAGAAACTCAAGGAGACAGAAACCTCAAGGAGACAGAGTGGTGGGTGGGTGTCAGAAGACATGTACACAATCTGAATTTTCTGGGACATGGCCAGTAACCAAGAGGAGGGTGAGAAGGCTATGAAATGGACCTGCAGAATTTGTGCAAATTGATCTGATGCTCAGGCCAAAGCCAATGAAGAAGTTGTGGCCAGCAACCAAGAAAAAAGCCTCTACATTTCAGAAAAGAAACTCATGCCTCAGCTTCCTTAGCGGAAGGCCCCACCTGTGCCTCGAGCCCTCTGCAGCAATGAATGAAATGTGCTTGCAGAACTTGTCCAGCCCATGCTGATGCAGGACATGGCCAGTAACCAGGAGGAGGGCAAGAAGATTATATGAAATAGGCCTGCAGAACTTGTGCAAACTGAGCTGATGCTTGAGCCAAAGCCAGCGAAGAAGCCTCATCTTCTGCCACTGCAGTGGTCATAGCTCAGGAGCACAGCTTCCTTTGCGGCCAGCAATGATTCAAAAGTTACAAGGGTGCACCAGAGACGTGCCGAGGTGGGCAACTGGAACAAAGAGCCTGCAGGCTTGGGCCTACTACTCAGACCCTGGGAGGGAATTTGCCAGAGGTCTTGGCCAGCAACCAAGAAGAAAGCCTCTGCATTTCTGGCCAGCAACAATCCTCTAATTACAACTCCATAATATGCTCATTAGTAAACAGGGCCAGCAACCAGGAGGCTAGAATAATATGAACTGAACTTGTACAACTCTTACCATACTCAAGGTGATGCTTGGGCCAAAGCCTGCAAAGAAAGTTTCCACAATTCAAGCAGTACACAGAAGAGAAGCCTCAGCAGTACTTGTGGCCACTAACTGGGAGGAGGAAGTAATACAAGTTCAGTAAGGGTAGTATGTAAAGCAGAAGGGTATATACATTTCTTCTCCATGGGAACAGAGAGACCTAGGGAGGAGCTTGAACCAGGAGGTGGACATTTCCTCCCCCCAAGTGCCATAGGGAAAGAGGCAGGGAGGGCGTATAATCACTTTCCTTACGCCCAGTATTTGCTTTCTCATCATAAGGAATCAAACTGTAATTATAAGTCTAAGTCTCTATAACATAAGTCTATACCATACTTTGGCTATGTATATATGGTGGAGACCCAGGATGTGATGTGTGCAGGGTGATAATGTAGATCTACCTGCTTTGAAATGCTGTGATGAGGAATTGAACCATTACAATTATTATTGACCATGAATAAATCATCATTAATATTACTATTACTACAAACTCTTATTAATATATTATTATTGGAATTAATAGTATTATTGATTCCTATTATTAGTATTACCTGTTAGTATATTAAAAGTCTGTATAAGTCAGGATGAAAGTCAACTATAATTATAATACATAATAGTTCAGTGCTGAGAAAATCCTGAAGGAAGTGTCATCATCCTCTTCATCTTCTCTTTCTTCCTTTCTCTTTCTGCCTCTTGTCACCCTAACAGGGATCAATCAGCCTGCAGCTAGCAATGGAAGGGGGTCTAAAAACCAGAGGATGGGAGGATAGAAAGGGTATCAGAATTTGTATTTGTGCCTTTTGTGCACCTCACATACCTTCCTTCATGCCCACAAAATTCCACCAGCCCCATTTACAATAAATCTGAACAAAACAATGCTTCCCCCCACAACCAGAGATGACTCTATTAGGGTGCAGGGCAGTGGCGTACCAATAGCAGCAGATGGCACGGCCACCCTAGCACGGACATGAAGGGGTGCCATTGGCAGGTGTGAAGGGGGCACCACCACTCCATGCTGCTTACCCCTCCTTCCCCCCCCCCCCACTACCAAAACCACCACAGAAGGTGGCTTGTCCAGGGTGCTTGCGGAAGTGAGGGTGGCAGCACTCTGGGCTTGTCTCCTGGTCCCCAGAGACCCATGGTATGCCACTGGTGCAGGGCCTTGGGCAAATAACTCCCCCCCACCCCATGCAGAGCTGATCCTGTATGCTGCGGTGGCGGTGGCGAGGGAGGGGAGTTGACAAGCATTTGGATGCAAGGCTGGCCAGCAACACTGAGGAGTCACCCCATCCACTCCACTCATCTCTGCAGGGTCCCCAAACCGCTGTGCTTAGGGCAGTCACTTGTATTCATGCTCCCTAGGAACTACCCTGCCACCCTCAGGGCGCAGACAAGTGTCAGGTGTCACTTACCAAAGGTGGCATGTAGCACATCACCATATCCTCTTGCAAGTCGCACATCACAGAGATGCAGGCATCAAATAGCACTCAAAGCTTCACTGCACCCCACTTGGTCAGCCTGCTGCCTTCTTGAACCCTGGATTCACATTGCTGTGCCCCCCAGGGGCAAATCTCATGACTGGGATGAGTCCTTCTCTGCCCCCACTGTGCTGCTGTTCCTCACCTGCCTCAAACCTCCCTCATTAATACCGTGAACACTCATCCTGACCTCTGCCCCCACAATTTATAGTGCTTGAGCTGGGCAACTCCCCACCCCACTGGCAGCCGTGTTTTGTTGTGGAAAAAACCCCAGACACTCTAGTGCCAGGCTGGAAAAGAGCATGAAAGCAAGGCGGAAAAGTTCACAAAGTCCATGAGTTTGTGTGCAAGCAAAGCAGGTCTTAAACCCCATGCTGCACCCCCCCCCCCCACACACACACACACACAGCCTCGTTTTGGTGTTCCAAAACAAAGGAGACTGTGCCTGGCACCTGGCTGGAAAAGAGTGTGAAAAGAATCTTGAAAAAGCTCATTTTCAAAGTTTCTGTCTAGGGAAAATGCAAGGAAGGTTTGTGAAGGGTAAGCCAAAGAGGCATACGCCCCTGTGGGCGACTTTGCAAAGTGGCTGTGGCTTGCAAAAAAGCAAGCCAGGCTGCTGTGGGGTGACACATCACTTCGCTTTTCCCAACTAGGGGAGGTAAAATCAAAAGCAGTAAGTAAGTACAGCCTCAAAAATGACTTTGCAGAGTGGGCACAGTCTTTGCAAAATGCTGGTGTGCAGACCAGCACTTGTGTGTTGCAATCCACCCAGGCAGCCCCCCTGTTTACCTGTGGAAGAAAGATTGCCAACCCCTCCCCCCCAGCACCATGCAGCAAGTGACAGGAAAAATGAATAGAGAAATGAACCCAACAATGAATGAAATCCACCTTTGCAACCAAGCAGTGTAAGGGTGGATATGGAGGCAGACACGGGAAGCCACAAGGTTTTATTGTTTGCAACACACTAGTTACTTGTATTTCTTTGCCTTCACCCCACCATGACCCTAAACTGCCCACAACTTCCTGAAACACAGTGGCAACCTCCTGGCCCTGCTGGCAGTCATACGGCCCTCCTGTGACCCCCCTTGCACAGAGGCAAGACAAGCAGACCAACTTTTCCCTTTTGGGCGTGGTACCCATTTATTTGGGTACTCCTGCACATTCTGAAAGGCACCATTGAAAGTGTCCTGTGACTTCTGTAATTCAACACAGAACTCGTCAACCATGTCTTTCAAATTCTGCATGGTGTCTTGCACTTCCTCGAGGATGGCATCATCCTTACGCAGCAACTCACAGAGTTCATTCCACAAGGCAGCTGCATGTTCCACTCTGGCCACTGAGGAGTCTGCCAAAACCTCGAGCGAGGTTTCACGGGACTGTCTCTGCTTGCTGCGATAATCTCTGCAGCGCTCTGCTGTAGTGCGAGGAGGGCACTGTTCCGGACGGCCATAGGTTGAAGTGGCTGATAAACAAAGAAAAAAGCAATGGTTGCCTTCCCCCCCAAGAGGAGGAACTTACACGCCCCCATCCCCACCGTGCAGTGCACAAAATGCCAGCAGGCACAGAAACAGACCCCACAACAGTGGGGCACCACTCGTACTGCACAAAACTTACAAGTACTCGCTTCAGAAACAGGTCCGCGGCTGCCACTGCACATGCTAGCTGCAAAAAATTAATTAAAGCAAATAATTAGTTTGGTGCCTGTTACATTACAAGCTATCAAACTTCTGATGCACCACCACTGAAAGAACATGGCGACCCACCTATAGCAACACGTGAATTTCACCCCCCAAACTGAACCAGCATGAACCTGGGTGCTGCCTGACAGTGGCAAGAGGCACATTACAGGCAACTCTCAATTTACATGTATTTAACTTACACGAATTCGGCTTTATGCGCTCAGCTGCTGGGGCTGGCTGCCGGGTGCCGGCTGGGAAACGGTATGCAGTGTGACACTGCACGGCGTCGCATGGTATTGCCTGCATGTGCCAGCATGACTGCAGGGCTGGGGGGGCTCACGCTTAGCTGGCCACCTTGTTCGGGCCTGGTGGCGGTGGCGGCAGCTGCTCTCCACTGAGCCCAGCGATTTCAGCTATACGCAATTTCAACTATACGCGGTGACCTAGGAACGTAACCCCCGAGTAAATTGCAATTGTACTGTATAAGACTTACCAGCTCCAGCATGTTCTTGGGAATCAGTAACAGTAGATGATGTATCGGCCACGTGGGTTTCTTCCTGACCTTCCACTTCCTCCACTTCATCAACTGTGCTAGTCTTTGGAATGGAGGGGCTAAGTGGCACTAAGTGTATGGTGACCAATGGTTCTTCCTGCCACTCATGGTCATCAGGGAGCAGTCTCTGTACAGGTGAGACATGCTCATGGTTTCACCCTCAGGAGGGGCTGCTGCCGCCTCCTCCTGCCCAACCCCAGTGCTGAAAGTCTCCATACCTGGTTGTCGTCCACATCCTTGGAGAGAATGACGGACAGCTTGTCATAGAAGGGGCCAATTGTGTGACCTGCCCCAGAATGAGAGTTTGCATCTTTGGCTCTGTAAAACGCTGATCTCAGGGACTTGATGTTGCACCTGGCCTGGGTTCAGTCACGATTGTGCCCTTAAGCCTGCATGCCTTTTGCAATCTTGACATAAACAGGCTTATTCTTCCTACTTTTCAGCCTGTCTATGATCCTTTGCTTTGACCAAATGTTGATTAAGTCCTCCAGTTTTTCCCAGGCCCAGTTGGGTCCACAGGCATTGGAGGTATCAGCCTCCTGGGCTGTCAGTCCATACTGCTGGTCTTGGCTTTCTGAGACATGGTGAAGCAGTCAACAGCACAAGCAATTTCTGAAAGAGGGATGGCAAATTCTTTTTGGTGGAGGTGTACCTTTATACTCAGGCTGTGCTTGCATGAAGGTCTGGGGAAATTCCAAGGATTGTGAAGTCATTACCTGTAAGTGTCAAAACACCCAAAGGTGATGAAGCACCCAGTTAACAACAAAAAAGATGGTGATGGGGTAAATCAGACCATTGTACATTGGGATGGCTGCTCAATGGCTTGGAATGTTGCAAAAAATCAATACCTACCTGACTGCTTGTGCAAATAATTGTATTACAGAAGCACAGCCTGTTTTCCCTAAAGTGGCAAAAATTTTGAGTAGCCTACATTACCAGGAGAGGAGCAGGCAAAACATTTTTTTGTTTGCAAACTTGATTACATCATGACACCAGTGGCTGCTAAGCTTAGGATGAAAGGATGTGCAAAAGCCTCTGTCCCGGGGAACGGGGTGATGCTGGTGACTCACCTGTGGCAGAGAACGACGCTTCTGGGGAACCCGTGTGGCTCGTGAGCTGGCTCTATGTACACCTGCGGCCAGCCGGTGACGTCAGCACCAGACGCTGGCCAGCAAAGATAAAAATGGGGGCGGCTGCGGCGGAAGGGGCAGATAGCCCCAGAGAGGGGAATCCGTCGGCTGCGTAGAAGGAACGCGGTCCCCGACAGCATCCTGAGGGGACCAGAGAGCCAGAGCCAGGAGCTTCAGGGAGAGAGGGCCAGCAGCAGTCTCCAGTAACCGGCAAAGGGCGAGTGGGGCTCAAACAGGACGTCGGGGAGTGGGAGCAGCTGCAGAGGACGCGCCAGACCTAGGTGAATGACCGGCTCGGAAGGGCGCCGAGGACCTGGACGGAGGGTCGTGATCGAGGCGGGATCACCACCTGGACGGCGGACGCAGGGTCAGACTGGGCTCAGAGCCCCAGGGATAGGGGCCGGGAGCCAACTCTAAATTCAGAGGGGCTCAACCCTAGATGTGTAAGGGATAGGGGCCAGGGAAGAAGCTGGACGGGCATGACGGGCCACAAGACTCCGCTGAGTTGGCTCAGGAAGGTGGCGTGAGGCCGGGGTGCAGGGGTGGTGGAGCCCCGTGTACATCCACCAGGTTGGACCCGGGCAGCGAGGGACCCACTAGGCGACCCCCCATTGATGGGACATCAAGATGTGGCAGGCGAGAACGGGATCGGCGGCTCAGGGAAAGAATGACCTCATTGCCCTTAAGGGCCCTAAGTTTCGGCTGCAACACCAGAGCCATATCCTCAGGGTAAATAAAGCCCGGCGGGCACAGTATTTGGTGCATTGGCCAGGAAACGTGGTTCAGGGCACCAGAGATGCAGGCGCCCGAAATGGGTCCCACCGCTTTGATCGCCCAGAATTTGCAGGCATTAACACAAATTGTGGGGTCACAACAGAGGTGGTTAGCCCAGCATAGCTCAGCAACCCTGGGGATGCCGAAGATGACGGCGGAGGATGACCCCGAGGCATTTATAGAGGCTTTTGAGTGGCACGCCCTCACGATGGGCCTGGATAAAAGGCTGTGGGCTAGCCAGCTTGGGGCGTTGCTAGTAGGCAAGGTTCAGGCCGCCTATAGGGCCCTGAATCGGGAGGAGGCCCAGGATTATGGGGCGGTGAAGGTGGCTATTTTGTATCGTCTGGAGCTGAGCCTGGAACATTTCTGGCGGCTCTTCCAGGCTTGTAAGGGGTCAGAAGAGAGGTGGCCCAGGGTACTTCTCCAAAGGCTACGGAACCTTTTTGGGAAGTGGGTCAACCTACCTTCATGTACAATGGTGACTCTGGTGGACAAGATCATCCTAGAGCAATTCATCAATGATTTAGAAGACAGAACCCAACAGTGGGTCCGGCAACATGCTCCGGTGACATGTGAAGAAGCCTTGAAAGTGGCAGAGGCCTTTACAGCCTCTGAGTGGTTCTACCCACGAGAAAGGAGAGGAACACCGGGGATGATGCCGGTGTCAAGGGACACTGAACACCGGAGGCCGGGGTATCGCCCCCAAGGTGGGAACATGGTGTGCTACCATTGTGGGAAAGGGGGCCACTTTGCATGAAAGTGTCCAGGGCATGGCATAGGGAAAGGTAATGCTTTGAGTATGTCCAGGGGGACAAGAGAGTCCTCCAGGGACTGGAGTATTGGGGAGCCGATGGACTGTAGCTTCAGGACTGCAAATGAGAGCCCCGTGTGGGAACGCCCCGTAGTGCAGGCCTGGATAGAGGACGGGCCTGTGCCAGCAGTATTAGACTCTGGATGTGCTCAGTCAGTAATTCGGGCAGATCTCTGGTCGGGGGCTGATCGGGGGCAGGCAGACTCAGTAAGGGTGTCATGCCTACATGGAGAAACCCAAGTCCTGCATCGAGTTAAGGCCCGTGTGAGGGTAATGGAACATCAAGGAGAGTTGGTGGCAGGACTCGCGCCTTGCCTCGCCTCGCGTGTGAGATGCTACTAGGGCGAGATTGGGCCCCGTTGTATGAAGTGTTAGATAGAGTGCGAGATGTAGAAGTAGCACACCGGAAGTTGAAGTGTCGGGAAGGGTGGCTTGGAGACACGGGCGGCGAAGCCGAAATGACCGAGGAGGAGGGGAGCTCTTTGGCAGACTGGAGGGACCCCAGTTCTGGCAGACCCAAAGAGAGGATGCGGAGTTACAGGAACTGTGGACCAGTGCAGCGGCCGGGGACCAGCGAACGACAACGAGCACTGCAAGCCACTTTGAGGTGAGACATCATCTTCTCTATCGGGTAACCCCAGGAAGAGGGGGGCAGGACAGCATGGTCCAGCTGGTGGTGCCAAGAGAGTGTAGACAGGCCGTGTGGCGCCTGGCCCATGCCACGCCCATGGGGGGGCATCTGGGTCGCGAACGTACCGTAGACAAAATTACTCGGTGGTTCTTTTGGCCTAAGTTGGGGGACGATATCGCATGACATTGTGCCGAGTGTCTGGTATGCCAAAAGACCCGGGAAGATAGACCTCCCCGCGCCCCACTACGACCCATGCCCATTATAGATCAGCCATTCTCCAGAATCGCTATGGACGTGGTAGGACCCTTACCGTGTAGTAGCAATGGCTATCAAGTCATCCTAGTTTTCGTAGACTATGCAACTCGGTACCTTGATGCCGTACCCCTAAGATCGGTGACAGTGCCCCGCATTGCGGACGACCTGGTAAAGTGGTGTAGAAGTAATTGACTTACTTGACTAGAAAAACAGACAAAGACCAGAAGTACTGATACTGCTTAATTCAATTAAATGTTCTGAGATAAGGAATCCTGCACACCTTGGGTTATCCTTATGTTATCTTGATATCTTGCCCTGTGCATAGATAATTTGTTTAAGTAAAATTCCTAAATTTCTGTGTAATTTACTATTGTTTTGTTTCTCCAAGGTGTATTTTTTATCTCTTTCTCTGTCTTAAGTATAAATACACTTGTAACCTTA